TTCTTCAGGCTAAACATGCCCAGCTCCTTAAGCTGCTCCTCATAGGGCTTGTTCTCCAGACCCTTGCTCATTGGGGGCTGTTGGGGGCTGAACTAGAGTTTGAAAGGAACATGAACACATTCCTCTGCACAAGGGTTTGCACCAGATGTATAAGATAATGAAAGCATGAATGGAACATTGCATCGTGCAAGTGTATATAAGAACACCAACAGAGTAAGTTGCGGTTGGGTGATGTGATGATGAATGGTGAATTGGAGGATGCTGGAGAGAGCTGTGGATAATGTAAATACCTGTAACATAAGGTAACACCATCCTGTGGAAAGAAGCTCCTGTGTTTGTTGTTTGTTGCAAGTATGGCTCATACTATAGACCAGTGATTCTCAACCTGGGGTCCCCAGATGTTTTGGCCTTCAACTCCAGAAATCCTAATAGCTGGTGAACTGGCTGGGAATTATGTGAGTTGTAGGCCAAAACACCTGGGGACCCCAGGTTGAGAACCACTGCTATAGACAGTACTTTAATATTGCTTGGAGGGTTGAACAGAGAAACTCTGCTTCAGGTTAAAGAATTCCTGAAAAACTTCCCAGTGTTTCAACCAACATAAGCTTCCCAGTATTTTGAGTGACGAGAGAGTCAAGTTAATTGGGATTGTTGTTGTTGTTGTGTGCCTTCAAGGCATTTCAAACTCAGGGCGACCCTATATTTCCTATATTTTATCAATCAAAATTGTTTTGGGAAAACAAGAGATGGAGAGGGGAGGAGTCATCCTATTGGAGGGTGCTCAACTCCCATGATGCCCTTCTGCCCACCCCACCATGTTGAAAGTGGAAGGGCGGCTTGCTGACTGTTGTCTTCTTGGCTTCTACAGATGGATGCCCAGCTGCAAATGGAAGTGGAGAGGCTGCTGATCCAAGAGCATGCCCTGGAGCAGCAGCGGCTCCTGGCGGGCAACGACCCTTCGGAGGACTCCATTGGCATCAACCAAAAAGTGCGCCGGAAGCTGGTCAAGTGAGTGCTGGAGGGTGTTGAGGCCTGTGAAATCTCTGAGGATGAGGATTAGGATTTTCTGCTTGAGCCTGTGGGAAAAAGCAAAAGTATTTTTTGGGTCAATGGGAATGATTTGGGTAGATCTTTTGTCGGTAAAGCAGGCAGTGATTCTCATGAGTATCAGCCAAGGATTGACTCTGAAAGGAATGTGGAAGAGACCTGGAGGGTTACAGATAACCCAGTGTTTGCAGCTCAGAAGGGATAGTGCGAAACAGAGACAAATTCATTGTTCCCAGAGTCTGAAAGATAAAGAAAGGGAACCCAGATGTGAGAGGGAATGATGTTATGGGCTAGAGTGAGTATGTTAAGGAATTGGAGTCAATGTCTGGTGTGGAGATCAACATTGGATTTTCATGTGTCAAGTCGCCTGTCTTGGAAGCTCCGAGTTAGGAATTCTGTTCTTGGGTCTGTCTCTGGTTTCCCTGTTTAAGTTCCAGGTCTCCTGTTTGGATTATAAATCTTGTTTCAAGCCTTTGGTAGAATGAAGACTTTGGATTATGGTCATGTTTATGTTTTCAAGCTTTTGGATATAATTCTACTTGCAAGTGCAAGAACCCTGGGGTTACAGTTTAAGTGATTTTGGAATTCTGATTCAGACTTGGTCCTTGCTTTTTGTTAAGCTTCTGGAAATCTATCTTATTGATGTATTTTGAAACAGTTTTAGATGCCCTTTTCTTAATAAATTTGTAATTCTTGTTCATCTGTGTGGTGTTTGGGTGAAAAGGGGATCAAGTAGGTGGCTGGGCTGCGACCGAAGGGTCCTCCCGATATGGAGGCTCCCTTCATTGGTTGGATTTTGGGGAAGGGTCCGCCTGTAGGTGGGGGTGGGTGGGTGGGAAATGCTGCTACTTATTCAGCCCTTGGAGGCAGTTCAGGTTCAAGGAGGGCCACCCAAGGATCCGGCAAGGGGTTCACCAAGACTGTATTGTTGAAGGCTTCTGTCATGATGACAGGGCTCTGCCGCTATTTGGTAGAGATGAACCAGACAAATACCCAGTTTATATCAAGCAGTTTAATTAAAGTAGCACTTTCTGGCTGTTTTAACAGTCCAAAATATAAAACATAAAGCCACAGAATATAAAACAAAAACAGCAAACACTGTTGCATGTTCAAGATAACACTGTAGTCAAAAGGTCCAGTCCAGTGGTCAAATGCCGAGAGTTCAACAAACAAAGTCCAGGGATCAAGAGTCCATACTGTAGTCAAAAGCCAGTCCAAAGATTCAAGGTTACAGGGTTCTAAGGGTTCAAGAGACAGGCCAGAATACCGAAAATCCACAAACCTGGGGGGAAACCAGAAGCATCTACCACCAATCATTCCCAAGGCTAGCTCATTATATCCAGAAACACCCAGCTGCAGCCTATCTCTTGCATACCTCCACCCTTAATTGCTTTCACTCATGAACTCTTACTTACAGATTACTCAACCCTTTAGAATTAAGACTTACATTAACCCTTCCATCACCAGTTGCTAGGCCTACCACCACCAACCACCACCAACTACAGAACATGATAGATGACAGCTTCCTTCCTTCCTCTTTTCCAGGGCACAGCTCCCGGAGTACATCCTGGACTTTGGCTACATCATCCTGGGCACCGTCCGGAGCCACATCGTCAAAATCACCAACACCAGTCCCTTCCCCGTCTCTTTTTATGCAGACACGCGGAACCTGCAGGACTCAGGTAAAAGGGAAACAGACATTGGGAGGCATTCTCAAGCCTTTTCCAATCAAGTCCGTTTCCTTACCTTTCCTTCCCTCGACCACCCCTCATGAGTGTTTTCAGGAGGCCCAGAAGATGGGGTGCTGGCCTCCTCTTGCTGCCCCCCAATCTATTCTGAGGGAGAATTCTGTTGCTGTTTGGAGGCAGGTTTCTGCACCGGGTTGGATCGTGTGAAGAACCTTCCCTTCTGCGAGACGGAGACCTTTGCCGTGCTCTTTGACCCGCAGAGCGCCAACCGGCCCCTCGGAGAAGTGGAGGTTGTCCTGCCCATCAAGGTGACGCTGCCCTGCACAGCCTCCCTCCCTCCTTCCCTTGCTTCCTGGGATCAGACCCAGAGATGCACCACAGGCTTCAGACCCTGGCCAGAATGCAAAGAGAGGGTCAGCGGTGTCGGTTGCAACCCCAAATGGGATCAGATCCCTTTCTCCGAGAGCACGCTCTCTCCTGGACCTGCGGAATCAGGATAAAGTCCTTCAGGGTTTGGAAAAAGGAAGCAGGGGGAGGAAACTGCATGGTCAACTGCATGGTCTGGCCTGTTCTGGAGGCTGAGGCTTCTCGGTCACCTTGCAGTTCCTTTTCAAGGGAGCTCGACCCCTGCCAAGTAGGTGTGTGCAAAACAGCACCGAATCCATTCTGATTTTGTTCCATTTTGGGGAGGATTCTTCTCGAAATGGAAACGAAACCAGAGTAGATTCACACTCTCCTACTGCCAAGTACTGTAATACCCACTAACTGTTGGCATGTGCCATGCTGTGCAAAAGAGGGGCACGCATTTCCCCCACAGGTCGTGTTCAGAGGGGCCTACGCACCTTGCTCCATTTTTCAAATGCACAGGGACAGGACGGGTGATGCCGAGCTCCGCAACGGAGATACTTGTGAAAGGGGTCTTGGAGTCTTAATGGACAACAAGTTAAACATGATCCAACAATGTGATTTCTTTTTTGTGTCAGGAGCGACTTGAGAAACTACAAGTCGCTTCTGGAGTGAGATAATTGACCATTTGCAAGGATGTTGCCAGGATGTTTTACCTGTGGGCAGGGGCGGCTCGTCCATTACGGGAAGTAAGCGGTCGCAGAACACTTTTTTTTGCCAGGGGCGCAGAGGCGCCTCTGTAAATGCC